GCTGTGGAAATGCAAATCACAGCTATGATAGATCAGGGCGGCTTAGTTCGGTTCGCTTATGGCCCAGAGCGGTTGGCTTAAAATTGCAGCAGCCTTTTCTAGATGGGTTTTGTCCAACCATCTCGAGGGGAACTTGAGATTCGGGAAAAGATCCGGAGGACCCGTGGGGATCCCTGGGAAGTTTAGTACCGATGAATCGGCGCTGAGAGTAGTGACGTATTGACTGGCTAAACTCCACGTAGCTGATAGCTGGAAATTCATTGGTCATTACACTCTAGTTCTCTGCGGACGGTTGGGCGTGTCAGCCAGTATGAGTGTGTCACCCTATCAGAGCCGTTCTCTGCCTTCTTGTTGAAGAGCGCATGCGACAAAAGTGTAGACGAATATTTACGCCTTGATCAACCTTCACCCCGCCCCGCCAGAATTTAATCGTAAGAACGTGCTCACCAGCGATATGAGGCTTATCAGATACAATTTCAGTGCAAGGGCGTGAGTCTAAAAAATATCCCAATGAAGAAAGTGGTACGCTAGGTCCGCAGCTGCATCAGTGTCTCAAAGAAAGGGGCACGCTAGTTCCGCAGCTGCATCAGCGTGTCACTTTCTTCGCTTAAGTACACAGAATGAGGTGCTGGGGGGGGCGGCGGGGTGTGTTCAGAGGAACTCACCGCCGCGCTGACGAAACTAAGTCGCGCACGGGAGCTGGGTGCTGGTCACCGCGCGCGGCTATTAACATGTTTTAACATGCTGTGCGTTTTGAACATCGTGTACGTGTTTGACATGTTCTTGCAGATGGAAACTGAGGACTCAAGAGAGACTCTGCCATCAGGGCACGCCATCTTTGTGATCATCACAACAGGGGGGTCGTATTTGCCCGCGATCGAGGGGGGGGGGTCGTAAACGCATGGCCCATGTTGAAGTGGAGAGAGCGGTGATACACGGTACAAGTGAAAAGAAGCTCAAAAGGGACGATGTAGATGACAATAAATAGAACTAGGCACTATCGAACTATTCCTAAGTCAAGAATTAAAAAAATATTGCTGAAACTTTTTCCACCTTCCTCACCAAAAAACCTCAAGACACTTCGCCCACCAACCCTCCTCATCTGGTCTAGATAAATCCCAACCCACTAATCCGCAAAATCTAGAAAAGAATCCATTGCAAAAGCTACCTATGAAACCGTAGAAATTGAATCCTGAGCAATTTCCTCACAACAAAATCAAACTCAACAAAACAAAACCAAACTCAACAAAAACAACAATCAAAACTCACAATCAAATAAGAAAAAGAATAAGATAAGAAAAAACTCACCAGGTCAGCTGGGAACCGGAACTATGGATTACTTTTGAATTTTGGCTGTTCGCGGTCAGCGCGCTTATACAAGCTCATTGGTGCGCGCTATTTTACGGCGTGGATCCAGTTTCAAGCCAAACACGTGAAAAGTACCCCTCACTTGAACGCCCATAACTTCGTTGAAAGTGAAGCTATCGGAGAGGGGTAAACGGGAATAAGTAGAGCTAGGTTGGCTCTTATCACCTGAATTGAGCGATTTCAAAAACGTTCCGGTTCCAGAGATTTTCCCCGTTGTGATCATCGTTGTGATCCGTCTGTGATCATTTTTGCGAACCGCGAGTCGCTACGCTTTGGACGTCCATGGCAAGCTTCATACACGACCTTTCGTAAAAAAAAGAACTGTGCCGGAAGCTTGAAGATTTCTACTTTCCAGCAAGGTTTTAATTTCCTTCCTAGACCTACTATTCGAAAAAATTCCCCGTTGTGATCATTTTGTAATCACCCCCCACGACACCGAAAAATCAACCCCTCCGAGGCCATGAAACCTCCGGTTGGCTTGATCGACTTATGGTATGCTTCTAAGAAGACATGTGTTTCGCAAAGGTATCCAGCGAAAGCAGGCCAATTGGGCGCCAATTGGCATCACCTCTACAATGCGCCATGCACGGGGCTTTCACGCAGGTGTTTGGAAGGTGTAACTTCTAGATAGGGCTTCCCAATTGCAAGCAAATGTGCTCCTACGATCAGAAAAGTCCGGGAATGTACTTTCATCTGTTTATTAATCGTCACGTCGTGAGTCCTTTTGCTTAATTATAAATTCATGGTGCCCTTAAGGGCGGTGATTGTAGCTCCTATCATCGTCCCTTCCTCGTACGTATTGTCAGTATGCTACACCAGCGCCAGAGTGCTGGACGTGCTTGGGACGTACGTAGGTACTGCGACCTCCCCCCCCGCTCGACAGCAAAATTTTGTAAAAAAACCAGAAATTTTTTGGGAAAAAGTAGACAAAGTGGTAGGAGGTTGGAAAAATCTAGGGAAAAGGTAACATGGGGAGGGGGGTCGTACTTGAAGATGGAATTAGGGGGGGGGTCGTATTTTTCAGGAAATGATCACAACGCAATGGCGTGCCCTGTTTCAAGAACTTGGATAGGATGAGATATCGATCGAGCTGGCAAAATGCCAGGTCAGGATCCACCGCCGCGTCACGCGACCGGGGCGCCGTGCGCGGTTACCTAGTTCCGAGCGCGGCGGTGACTCCTGGCCGTTCCGGGGGGGGGGGGGGCGTAGTACACAGGTGCTTGCGAGGCTCAGACACGAGGGGGATACTAGAAACAGCTCTTTCGATGTAGATGGTGGGGCGTGTTGGAGAGAGTGATTTGCGTATGGGCTTTTCTAACAGTTAGCCGCCCCTGACACGCCTCATCATCTGCAGCGAACAAGACTGTGTGTGCAAGAAAGTCCAACACGGAAATAGGCACCCGTCCCTAGCGTGCTGGATATGCTTTTTTTGGCCCTTAATATGGACTGTATGTGTTGGTGAGCCAGAATTTATGAGAGACTTACAAACTGAAGTTCTATTTTTACTCATCATTAGCTCCTCGGGGCTAATGATGAGTAAAAATAAAACGGGGAGGACAGTCGCCTGGCTCTGTTAGTGCTGAAGGAAGAAGAAGGATCACAATTCCGGTGGGAAGGCGCAAGCCAGAAGGTTCAGTCGAGCTCCGCTCTCTTATTTCTCCTCTCCAGCAGCTATGTTACTCTCAAGGAACTCATTTTAGTGGAAAACCCCACCTTTATTCGACCTCGGAAATTGCAATACCACTAAGAAATTCAGTCTTATAGGGATGTGGCTTCTAAGACGGAACCAGAACATCTCCAGCAGCGGTCTACCTGTCATGGAGGATTCGTCGTCAGACAGAGATGTCGAGACGGAACTAGGATTTCGTCACTGGCTACTGATTGCCATACACATCGCATCACTGATAGCAATGACAGTCACACTTCATGCTCGTGTCCCTGAAGCTCAACCTGCAAGTACAGGTGAGTGTTAAGGAACACTGTAGATTTAAGTAGGGAGTAGTCTTGCTTGAAGTGGAAAAGTACCGTGTATGGATTGTAAGGTGTGCTTTTGTGCACTGCCGTGTATTAGGTTGTCCGGAAAAAGTTCTCAGCGTTTTGTGCACCTATTTTTTGTACATTCACTGCTGATTAAAAACTCATTCTGCCTTGCTTCTCAGTAGCACATCCTGTAGAGAATTTCTTGCGCTGTACTTGATGGTATAATTGCCGTTTCACCATTGCTTGACAAACCCCCTTTTTTCAAGATTTTTTTCAAGCATGTGAAAAGAGCACTTCGGACGATTTTTTTCTTCGACTATAAATTGGGGCAATCCCCACCGCAATCGAAACAGCTCAAAAACAAATTAACCCAGCGTGTGGGGCGGGCCAATAATATTTTGTTGCCAGAGGAAGCAACTGTGCGGCAATGGCTTCAATCAAAATTTCGTTCTGTATTGTTCAGACCTTTGAAGATGAACCTCATAGCGGTCGACCTAAAGCAATATCTGACGAGGATTTTAGGGGCATTTTGGAGGCTGACCCATCCCAAACAGTTTCGAGAGATAGCAGAAGAGCTTAGGCCTTTTGGCCAAATCACATGTTTGCAGATGATCTGGAAGCCATTGCGGAAAAAGTGGGGAAGCAGGGAAAATTTCGAACCAGTTGGGTTGCCCCACAATACGATGTGACCGGTCAAGACCACCGGAAGTAATACTTTTCAAGGCCGAAAACCCTCACCGAAAAAAAAGATTCTGGCTCAAGGTTTGGTGGTCTATAGTTCCCGCGTGTGATCCCACTATAAACCTTTTTGTTACCAGGCCAAACCATCACAGCAGAGTCCTACTGTGAAGAAATCGACGAAATGTACCGAAAATTTTGTCAGATGCAGCCAACACTTATCAAAAGAAAGGGTTCCCCCGATGTCTTTTTGCATGACAAGCGCCCGCCCACACGTTTCACAAATCACTATCCATAATTGAACGAATTGGGGGTTGAAAGTTCTACCTCAACCGCCATATTCTTCAGACCTTTCGCCAACCGACTATCACCTTTTCTAACATTTTCAGAACTCCCTTGCTGGAAAATACTTCATCAATCAGGACCAGGCAAAAAAGCCTTAGTGGATTTCGTGAATTTTCGACCACCCAGTTTTTACTTTGATGGGATTTCTCGACTGCTGTCACATTGGCAAAAGTGTGCTGATTCATAATGGCTGCCCTATGTCGAATTAAACCTCGATGAGTATTAAAAATACTTACGATCGTTTCAAGAGTTGGAACACCCCAAAACGCCTAGAGAACTTTCCGGAGCAAAAATAGTGGAACCGGTGCAGTCAAGCGTAGTCGCGCAGCGGACATTCACCTCAGTACTACTTTTGCCCCATTGACCTTGAAGTATAGCCTACTAATTACCACGGGGGTCTACTGGTTTCAGTTGATAGTGTAAAATTCCAAAAAAACGCTGGTTCCTATGATCTCTTTCTTAAGATAACAGTCGTTTCTCGGAGCTCCGCGCCCGTCGGCTAGTTTTTGAGATGTCGAACTTCGGACCGAAACCAGCCGGATCACAAGCGTGCGAAACGTACACGAAGGGATATATTTTGAAAGAACTAGAGTGAGTTTTTGCTCTTCATCTACTTCTGAATGTATGCTCCTTGGATAAATGACATTTGAAGGAATTACCCTCACCAACCATTAAACACTCTCTTTGAAGGGTCATAAAAATTGCGGCTTCTGCAAAAATCGAGGTTTCACTACAAAATCCGTCGGGATGCTTCGATATTCCAAGATTCGATACAGACGGTTTCACAGTTTGCTATAGGAATGTAAGTTAAGCTTAGCCTTGAATTTAACCAGAACTTTTCAGTTAATGGTATGAATCAGCAGGGTCTAATAACAATGATTAAGGTGTCAAACGTAGCAGTTCGTCTATCGCGAAATGATGCAAAGCAACCACGAACTGCTGTCTTACTGAATTGTCATTACGACAGCTGGCCAGTAAGTAGCGGTAAGTGCTTAATCCTTTGTTCATCTCTTACCTGTGTTCAGCTTGGTCCTATTTACTGTTTTCTATTTTTTGCATGCACGGGAGGCGGAAGGTGTAGCGGAAAGTGGCACGTTTGCCATCAAATCCCGGCTCGACGTCTAATCTCGGATACAGCCCAACCTGGCCTTCCACCCTCCGGTGACGGTTGACTGGTTGCAGATTCGCCTGGGAGGATAAAACACTGACTTGTACATCGGCTGGCCCCCGCAAGTCATTGTAGGCCACATCGCATTCAATAAGCCACTACGATTCTGAATGGAAGTAAGGTGCGTGCCGCATCCCAAAGGGGATTAATCGACGGCAGAAACTTGACCTTTTTTCATCCCAAGGAGGCGCGGAAGTCACGCTTCTTGTTTTTAGAGGAACTCCACCCTTTCCTTGTACTTCAAAGCACGTTCCCACCTGAAGTTGGTTGAACCACTGCGCTCGCTTCTTTGGTGCGCTCTCCTACTCCCTATTCAAAAGAAGGGCTCATGAATGAGAACTGCGCACTTGTCCAGGAGTCTTCGCCCATACGGGCAGTATGGAGTGTACAACTAAATGAGTTTTTCAAAGGACTGATCACGTATTGGTTCAACGTACCCTAAGAATTAAAGTTAATGGAGCATTATCCTCCCAATGGCGCTCAACAGAACTCAATTGACGTCTTTTTTAACTCTTTTTCAAAACACCCTTAT